AGTGGGAGGGGGCTGGCAGCAACCAGTAGCAGTGGGAGGGGGCCGGCAGCAACCGGCAGCAGTAGGAGGGGGGACGTTTCGGGTGATGTCCGGCTTGTGTATGGAGCATGAAAAGGTCAGCTCTTTCTCAGCAGTTAGAATTATTTTACTTCTTACTTCCTTGTTCTGAATATTCTTCTTTGGTCTGGGGGACTTGGTATGAACCCACTTTAACCTGGGGGGCTTTAGTTTGATTCCATCATTCCCCCCTTTTCTTATGGCAAGATTTTAATCATAAAATCTATGGGTTTTCTGGAAGCATCATAGCAGACAGCTTTTTAAGCAAGGTCAGTGAGTACCAATGTGATGATGGCAACAAGGAGGATCAAGGCTACAGAGATGAGGATGATAGCAACTAATTCCTAGTCGGAGTCGTTTAATTTCCAGTCGGAGTGATTTATGTGTTCAGGACTTTGAGGGTTGTGGGTGTAGTCAGGAGAACCGTGTAGGGTCCTTTCCATCGTGGTTCAAGAGTCTTGTTTTCAAGCTGGGGTTATCAAAAGAAGAGGGCAAGGGGGACAAAGTTACATTGAGAACAGGAGGTGGCCCTCCAAAAAGAATTTCATAGGGGGTTAGACCGTGTATAGCGGAGTATTTCTAGCTCAAAATAGAGCTAGAGGTAGGAGCTGCACCCAGTCTTTAGTGCCAGTCTCTAAAGCTAATTTGGTTAAGGTCTCTTTAATGGTTTTATTTATTTTTTCTACCTGTCCTGAACTTTGGGGTCTATAAGCACAATGTAATTTCCAATTAATCCCCAATGCTTTGTGAATGAAGAGGGTCTCAGGTTCCTACACAAAGGGAGATGGGGGCAGGAAGAGGCCCCAAGGGCTCCTGGGGACTGCACTGAGTGTAGGACCCCCAGGCTGGGGTACCCAACATCCACGGGAGGCCGCACCCCAATAACTCAGTCCTCAGACCAGGAGATGCAATAAGCAAGAGGATTTAATCATTTGCGCAGACGGGCTCCTGCCTCACTCAGAAGGAGAGTGAGAGAACAGCAGCCCTGAGTTCAGCTTACAGGCAATTTTTAAAGGCAGAAACCACAAACCACAACTGGCAGCAGTGGGAGGGGGCCAGCAGCAACCACGGCAGCAGTGGGAGGGGGCCGGCAGCAGTAGGAGAGGGGAAGTTTCGGTGATGTCTGGCTTGTGTACGGAGCATGAAAAGGTCAGCTCTTTCTCAGCAGTTAGAATTATTTTACTTCTTACTTCCTTGTTCTGAATATTCTTCTTTGGTCTGGGGGACTTGGTTTGAATCCACTTTAACCTGGCAGGGGCTTTAGTTTAATTCCATCATATGTATTCCATGCTGGCCTCGAACTCACTGTTGAGCTGAGGATGTCCTTGAATTCCTGATTCTTCTGCCTCTTCCTATGGTGCTGAGATTGTAGGTATGTTCCACTGTGCTTGGTTTATTCAGTGCTGGGGATTGAACCCAGGGCTTTGTGTATGCTAGGAGTACTCTACCAACTGAGCTGCATCCCCAGCCACCCTCTCCCCTACCTTTGTTTTCCTCTTTGCATTCCTGACACCTAATATGATACCAGCAATAAGATGGGGTGACTGTTGTGTAAACTAATAAGCCAATTAAGATAAGAGTGTCACAGAATCAGGAGAATACAGAGCTTCGAGAAGGGGATGGTCAGCACCAAGAATCACAGAGAACTCAAGAAAAATAAGGATCAAAAGCCACAAATCCTCTTCTGATTTGTACTGGGAAGGTCAATTGTACACTTTGCTGTGACTTTTATTGGAGGGATGAAGACAGGTGAAAGCATGATTAAATTAATATCTGGCTGACTAATGACAGGCGAGGGAGGGAAGACAAGGTGGACTATTATTTGGGTAGCTTGGATATGCAAGAGGTAGGGAGTGGACTCAGGGTTAAAGGAAATGGCCCTGTGTTTTAGAGACTTCCGTGAGGGTTAAGGGGTGAGGGGTCTCTCTATGACATAAGTTGGCCGAAGTGGTATTATTGAAGGCCCCTTGGATTGCTACACCCTCGTAATAAGGGGGTGCTGCTGTTAAACATAGCCAACAGGATTCAGTTAGGTTGGGGTCTGTCTGTCTAATGGCCTTATATGCTCCTTGGATTAGATTAAACAGTCGGTCCCCCGTAGGTGAAACCTTGTG